GTGCGTTAGCTTTTGCGTTCCAACTAATTAGTTAACCCCGTCATGATGTAGCTCACTAATTAGGAAGGCGGTGTGAGGAGTGTAATCCAGTGAGGGGCCCTGTGGCTGATATACCTCCAAGCCACAACCAGCCATCAAGCACACCGTTGCACAGCGAGGCGACGAAGCTCTGAGCTGCCTGGCCGCTGCGTGGACCTTCACCTTTGACGTTGCTTGGCTCTGTCCACTCCAACTCCAAACACCAACACCCGCCATCACCAAGCTGAAGCTTACGCTCGCCAACCCCCTCCTTCAACCTCGAGTCTCGTTCTGTTGTAGTCCCTATCCTTCCAACTAAATCTATTGCGACGCTGCAAGAGCAGCTATTTCTTCACCATGTTCAGGAACAACTACGACAATGATTCCGTCACATTGTACGTCGATGTGTTCCACCATCCTCCCCCCCAGGTGCTTCAGCTCACTAACAGCAGCACAGCTCGCCTCAGGGGAGAATATTCCAGATTGAATACGCAGCCGAGGCTGTGAAGCAGGGTTCAGTCGTTGTCGGTATTGCCAGCAAGACCCATGCTGTGCTGTGCGCAATCAAGGTATGGCATCTTTCCCTCTCACTATAGAGGTACAACATCTAAATCTGACAATTGCACCCTCACAGCGTAACGCCGAAGAGCTTTCATCCTATCAAAAGAAGCTGTTCTCCGTCGACGAGCATGCTGGCATAGCAATTGCCGGCCTCACATCCGACGCCCGTGTCCTCTCCAACTTCATGAAGCAGCAGTGCCTCGGTCACCGACTCACTTATGGCCGCGCCATCCCCCTCCGCTCCCTCGTCGACATGATTGGCGAGAAGGCCCAGATCAATACTCAGGTGTATGGCAAGCGACCATACGGTGTCGGCCTACTCGTTGCCGGTGTTGACGAACGTGGCCCCCACCTATTCGAGTTCCAGCCCTCGGGCATGACGGAAGAAATGCTCGCGTTTGCTATCGGCGCGAGAAGCCAGATGGCCCGAACATACCTAGAGCGCAACATCGAAGCTTTCCCCGATTGTTCGAGAGAAGAACTTATCAAGCACGGACTCAAGGCCTTGAAAGAGAGTCTGGTTCAAGACAAGGAGCTGACAGTGGAGAACACCTCGGTTGGTGTGGTGGGTATCAAGCCAGATGGCAAGGGTATTGAGCCTTTCAAGCTCTACGATGGCTTTGAAGTGCAGGAGTGGATTGAGAGCGTTGCTGACAGCCAAGGCGGCGGAGAAGAGGGTGAGGGCATGGACGTGGACAGCTAGACTGTTCAATAATAGACGGGGAATAAATGACGGCGTCGGGGCAAGGCGGTATCAAGCTAGATCATGTACAATTACCAGCTGCAGAAGCAGCAGTCACGGGTCTTACCTCGATGGATTTTAAGGCAAATACCTTTTGGTCACTAAGTTTCGTCTATTCGTGCTAATGAGAATGATGCTAATGCCGTCTATTTACATGAGTGTTTGATAAGTGGAGAGAGAGGAAATGTCTGCAAACCATGCAGTTGATCCCAAACGCCAGTGTATGAGACCCAGATGCTTTCCACTCTATTCGAGGATTAAAAGAACAATACCGGAGGCAACCCCCACACAGGACAATTCTTTCCTCCTCCGCTTCCCTTAGAAACAAAAGTTCGCGCAAAGGAACAATTACTGCTTCCCCCACTGTAGCTGGTAGATTGCATCAGACACCTTGTATTCGCGCAGAGCCTTGATAGAGTCTTCGGGCGTGTTGGCGGTGACAAGGATGTTCTTGTTGGCAGGCTTGACGAAGCCCTCCTGGGCGGCTCGCTCCATCCATTGAATGATGCCATCCCAGTAACCTTCGATGTTGAGGAGCACGATACCCTGGCTGTGGATGCCAAGCTGGTTCCAGGTGGTGGTTTCGAAAATCTCCTCCATAGTCCCGAAGCCGCCGCTGAGGCCGATAAAGCCACTTCCTGGGCCACCGTTGAAGACTTCCTCTGCCATCAGCTTCTTGCGGGTATGCATATCCGCAACGACAGTAGTGCGGCCATATACAGATTCGTCAGGAACCACTTGGTTCTTGGATGTCAAGGTCTGGTATGTTCCGTCCCGCTCGTACTTAACTAGAGCTTCTGGAATGATTCCGTGTACGGCCTTTGGGCCATTGATGGCAACAATTGTCTTTGCAACTTCGCCCATAAGGCCAACAGTTCCACCTCCGTATACTAGTAATCGTGTTGTCAGCGTCAATCGCTTTTCGGCCCCAATTTCGGCGACCTCCGGTGCGATGCATAGAGGCCGGAGGACGGCGGCCCCACGCAGCATGTTGGCCATTTATGACTCACCTAGATCAATGTTGTTAGCGGCCATGACTCGGCCAAGTTGGCGTGCGGCTTCAATGTGAGCAGGACTGGCGCCAGCACTGGCACCGCAGTAGACGCAAATCTTTGTGCGAAGATGACCGTTGGCAGAAGAGCCATTGGTACCATTGCCGTTCTCAGTGGCTGGCAAAGGTGCTTGGTTGTCGGCAGTCATGATGACTTTTGTGGAGGCCAGGAGGAAGAGAGAAATAAAAAAGAAGGGAGAAATAGAACGACGAGGAAGTCGAGGTTATAAGAGAGTCTAATAAGACGAGTCGGAGGAGAGAACGAGGAGAGAAGACAATGAAGAGAAGAAAACTGTGTACAAGATATCTGATCTCAGAGTGAGAGTCGTTTCAAGATGTGGTGAATATGGAAGGAGGTTGAGATTAGAGTTAAGTTTAGAAGACAGTATTGATGCAAGGTCATAGAGCCCAACAAAAGGGGAAAATAGAGGGCGAGAGCCAGTGTTAAAATAAGTTCAGAGGTGGTGGCGTACGAAGGGTGTCATGAGAAAAGCCCGAACAACGACGGCACCAGCCAACCAACCATGGATATTTCGGGGCGGGTCAGTCAGTACAGTACTCCGTACAGTGCATTTTTTCGGCGGTCCACGCATCATGTATCGACCACATCGCCCTTTTGTAGGTCAGACAGGATAGCCACCTTAAATGTGCTACGGACGTTCTGAGCGGCAATAACGCGAGCTGGATACATGCAAAGGTCACAGGTCCTAAAGGGGCTATAGGTAGAAGTCCCTTAGGTGTCACGTCGCATTCAAAGCGAGTTTGCTGTCCCTCTTGCGGCAATCAAAAACGAGTTGGATTTGTCTGCTTAAAAACATGTGGCCTTTGTCCTGTAGCAGCGATCCTCGATATCGACACAATTGAATAAACTGGCGGTGGCGGGCGGCTTTCAACGGTCCAGTTGACGTGAGTCACTGCTTGAAGCAGAGCACTTGTATGTTCATGACGCCGCTATTTAAACCCTTTTGGGAATGTTCTGACTAAAACTTCTCTTCCTATTTCTTATTATAGTATTTCTGCTTAGCTTACAATTAGATTGCATATCACCCAACAATAGCGAGGTAGAAACTGTCTGGTATATCAGTGCAGAAGGCTAGATCCGATGATGCAGGTACAACGAAAACTGGAAGCTTCTACAGCTCGATAAGATTGCTCGCGCAAGAGTCGAGAGCGACAACAAGGTGGTCTCCAGCGATACGCCTTTTGATAGTGTGTCTATTGACAAGCGGAATAGCATTGATGGCTTTTACTGATTACTCCGCAAAAGATAACAATCTTCTTCTCAAACTGGCTACTGCTGTCATTGCGCTGATGGCGGGGGATCATTTTTGAGCACGACTCGTCAGAGTAAAAGACGCAAGTCGTTTCATAATATGCAACGGTTACAAGCACAGCCTAAGATATTTTATCAGTACTATTAATGTAAGATAGGTATATATTTTCTTATACTTACGGAGCCCATATCAGCTTGGTAGCAGTGTTGGCTCCAATCGGGCGTATCCCTAACGATTTCAAATGCCCCCGTGCCGAAAAAAAAACCTGTATATTTTTACACGGCTACAGACATAAATACAGTCCGTGGCGTTGGCAAGCTGAAAGCACCAAAGAGTGAAGCAAGGACGAGAGTTAGGATATGCATCTCAGAATTATTGTTGGGGGCTTAAGCACAACAATCTTTAGGGTGTCGGATACCGTGATGGAGATGCAGTTGTTAAGGTTCGTTTCAAAAGGAGAAACAGGACTCCTCATCACAACTCGCCTATTCACCTTCTGATGGGTCGGTCTATCTCACTTAATTTAATTTACTTATAGTTCTCATTTTGAGTCGACTGGTACGAATGCGGCAGTAATTAGATCTCCTTCTATTGAGAATATCATGGTTATATATCAGTAGGGTAACCAAAGGCTATCTATCCCAAGGTCGACGATCTACATAGCAAACATGTATTTGCGAAACGTCCCTAGCAGATTTCGGTGAGGCTCTCTGTTACGGCAAAATGAGGGCATTATTATTATTATTATGTACATAAACAAGTAATAGAAATAATTAATCCAGTGTTGGCTATGGCGATGGTAATCGTTCCTACTATCAAAAGAGGTTTGTATTGAGCTTAGTCCGACTCGCAAGACGATATGCCTACCATGTTGTCAAAAGTGCAATTGCCATTGGTTGGTGTATTGCGGAGCCAGCCAGGTTTAGCTGCGAAAGGTCAGCTGCCGCAGGTTGCGTGTCGGTGAGTCGGCTGGGGGCGGTTGAGGACTCATGAACATCACATGAATTACCTAACCAAGCCTACCTGGAACGCAGGCCAGACGGCCAACGGACGTGGCATGTTGTGTAAGGCTACATCACATACAATACAGGATTTCGCATTTAGTTGACCCCGGGGTCAAGTTGTTGACCGAATGAATTGAACCAATCGGTGTATAGTTCCATATACTATGGAACGTTGAGGCGTAAGCCATAGCTTCAAAAAAAACAGCCTGCATTCCCCCCACATATTATCCCGACCGTCCACCAAGTAGGGCGAGTGCATATGTCATAGAAAAAAAAACGCCAGCAGAACTAGCAGTCATGAGGAAGAGCTACTCATTAAGTGGCAAAATTGCGGAAAGAGGCAAAAAACAAGGTCCTAACCAGGTTCGAACTGGTGTCTTTGGAAGAGACTTTTGATTAGGGTAATCAAAATCCAACGTCCTGACCACTAGACTATAGGACCTTTGACGTCAGGAATCCTGCACTAGGCTGGATGCCTGGTTAGCGTCCGAGGGTATTGTTAGTATATATAAAGCCTACGCAGTTGAACTGCGTCCTGAGGAGTGCATCATGATTATGATAAAGTGAGCAATGTTACCCATTCTCTACCCTACACGTGCTGGAGTCATATACAACTTCACCAAGTATCGACCCAAAGGCAAGCAAAATCTGCAATATCTCGGCATCACTCTAATTCTGTATCACTAGAGCATTGGGATCTCTCTGTTACCCAACGCTATATCATTTACCTTGAGTGCTCCGCTCATCCTTGCCGGTTGTGCATCTTGAAGCCTGGGGCAATTTCACATAGCAAAGCACAACGCCTCTCCTTCCTGTAGTGTTCTCGACACGGAGCGCACTCACGCATCTTCTGACCCCACTCGCGCCACGTAACAAGAATGAATTCTATCCAACGTCCCCTAAACACACGAACAAGAAATCTACGCAATGGTTATTCGTTGTACGCATAGTGCACAGTGTAATTATTTGATCAATGGCGGGGCAGACATCATGACACGTAAAATGAGGGGCAGTCCGCTGCCCAAATTGCCATGCGGACATTTCTGCAGTGAATGGCATTGTACAGTGGGACGTGGCGGAAGGTCTCTTCCTGATTCGCCCACCCACTGGGTAAGTCAGCACAAAGCTTCAGTGGACCCTATTTCTCGATCGAGTAGGTAGGTAGACTAGGTGCTTCGGCAAGGACGTACCATCGGCTTGGGCCATCAAAGGCAACGTTTTCTCAAGCGTCGGTTTTTGACACTGCGACGACTTTCAAACCGTACCATCGCCCTCTGCAGACGCACCATCGCGAACTGCGGGACGTCCACAAATCGCCCCTTGTCTCTGGCTGTATCCGATTTCCTCCCCCATTCTCTGCTGTAGGCCATATACGCGATGGCCGAACGAGCCGCGCCACCCCAGCGAAGGGAGGGCCAGGAAGAAGGCGGAGGTGTAAGTTTTGCCTTGTTTATGGTTCAATGATCATTGATGGTAGCGATAAACATTTTGCTGATGAACCTGCTATGCAATAGGGATTCAATTACGGTACGCTGCTTATTGGTGGCACCGTTTACTTTGCGGTCAATCTTGCTCTCAACTACATGAATCGAAAGGATCAGACCGGTGTCCCCGCGACCAACCCTGAAACTGGCGAAATTATTCGAGTTCCTGGAAATACTGCAGAAATCCCAGCATTTGAATTCCGACCCAAAGAGTTGGATGAGGGTGCGACTATCAGCAGAATTCCAAAGAAGATTGCGCCCATCTGGCCACAGGATAGCTATGTCGACATTGTCGTCACCTTGTCGCCTTCGTTCAACCCGGTTCCCATTAACCAGGTGCCAGAAGAATATGTCGTTCTCCAGGAGAAGGAATTTCAACTGAATAATTACTCCGACAAGCGCGTCGTGGAGACCACGTTTCCCGTTCCCCAGGCCGTCCAGAACAATGGTACCCTTTGGGGCCACTTCTATGTTGGCCTTCCTGGCAGCAACCTCGACCCCCGACAACCTGGATTTGACCCTGCTAAGGCGTATCATTTTGCTTGGCCTCTGACTCAGTATTTGCCTAAGAAGAAGGTTGCCAAAACTCGAAATCTTTTGGAGAATGCCCCGGAAGCCGCTTCTGAAGAAACTGAGGAGCCAGAGCCAGTAGGACCCACGATCGCCAGTTATTACCACCCCAATGCCAGTTTCTCGTTTGTGCCCGACCATGGTGTCAAGGACTTTGCTTCGTTGACCCCCCCAATCCGCCAGTACTTCCACCTTGAGGCGACCGGTGCTCGCGATGGATCTGGCCAGCATGGCTGGTATTGTGAGTTAAATCCTTTGATGACACTACTACAGCCGTGTATAACTGACTAGAATTAGACCCGGTTTTGTTTGTGAATACCTTCTGGCAGCTAACCAACCACATGACCGTCCTGAACGAAACTGTCAAGGAACTACCTCTTCGCATCGACCTCAAAAATCTTGTTTCCTGGCAGTTCCAGATCATGGCTACCATGGAGGCAAATGCCAAAGAGGCTGCGCGACAGGCTGCTTTTGGCGGCTCTCTACCTGGTGGCGGCGACGGCACGGAGATTGAGATGATCAAAGAAATCTTCATTGATACAAACCCCATTCTTCTGGGCATCACCATCGTGGTGAGCATCGCGCACATGATTCTGGAGACCCTGGCCTTCGGTTCCGATATCGCTCACTACCGCAAGAAGAAAGACAATGTTGGTATCTCAGTGCGATCCATCCTGGCCAACGTGTTTATGCAATCCGTTATCTTCCTTTATCTCCTGGATAACTCGCAAAATACGAGCTGGATGATTCTCGGAACTCAGGTTGTTGGTATACTCATCGAGTTTTGGAAGATCACAACCGTGGTCAACGTGCGGGTGGTTCCTAGCGCCCCTGGATCTTGGCTTCCATATGCCGTTGTGTTTGAGGATAAGCAGCAGCTGACCGAGACTGAGGAGAAAACCAAGGAGTATGACGAGATTGCTTTCAAGTACGTCTACATTGCCGCGGTGCCTCTCTTGATCGCCTACGGCATCTACTCCCTTGTCTACGACAGCCATAAGTCGTGGTACTCGTACATCATTACCACTCTTGTCGGTTCGGTCTACGCATACGGTTTCCTCATGATGGTACCCTCGCTCTACATCAACTACCGTCTTAAGAGTGTGGCACACATGCCAGCCAAGGCCATGATGTACAAGTTCCTCAACACCTTCATCGATGACTTGTTTGCGTTCACCATCAAGATGCCTTTCCTGCACCGTTTGTCGACGTTCCGTGACGACATCATCTTCTTCATCTACATTTACCAGCGATGGGCTTATCGTGTCGACTACAGCCGCGTGAACGAGTTTGGCCAGGGTGGTGACGATGAGCCCACTGAGAAGAAGGAGACCGAGGCCAAGGAGGTGACTGCCGAGAAGGCCAAGCAGGTTGAGGCAAAGGCAACCGGTGCTGACACTGGCAAGGCCACGAAACGAAAGTAGACTCTCTCTCTCTCCTGACTCTATATACGTGGGGAACATGGAGTTGGTCAAGATAGCTTAGAGTGGATGAGGAGGGTTTGGATAAGGCGATGATCGAACAGGTCTCAGTTTTGTACATTAATTGTTAATCAAGGCATCTTAACCGGTCTCTATTAATACCTACTATTATCATCCGATGCGATATCAGGGCTATTCTTTTGTGAATTCAGAGCACAAGCTAGCGCTAGAACTAGCCATCCTCGCCCGTTTTACGTGGCCATGCAGTTAATGGAATGTTTTTATTGGACTACCAAGCGATTTGTGGTGTGCCTTTCGCTCTGGAGTGACGGTACTTGACCTTCGTAGGCTTCGTTGGCAGCACTAATTCAGCCACCATTGACCCTCCATCACAGCCCTATGCAATCTTGTCAAAAAGATGATTGGAACTACTACTTTGGGACTCGTTGCATGCTCCCTTGCCCAAACTGGATCTGCACTCTTACAAAAAAATAAAGGAGGGCACATGTGACAGCAGAGACTAAAAGGTTATCCAGACTTATTCATACTAGTACAGAGGAAGAAGTTGGTGTTATGAATATCCACTGTGTGTTCGGGGGGGCCACCCTGAAGAGACCACCGTCATAGCGGCCCCGCCCTTGCGGATTGAGGCGTGGCTCAGTCTTTGTGGGCTGCAAGGGCAGACGCACGACGTGACGACAGCAATTGAACTTCAAATTGACATTACAGAGGGCTATTGGAATAGGGGTGGTTGAGTTGGGTTGGGTTGTTAGTAGCAAGGTCATAAGCCGTGAGAGCCGATTTGAACAGCATGTTGTAGATCTGTCAGCCTCTGTCCGGTCTTGAGCGGAACAAGAAGACAGGCCGCCTTGAATGCTGGCTTGCACCGTTGGACGAGATCTGTCTAAGTTAGGCGTGGACTTGAAACGATGGAAGCCTACTCCGTGCTTTTATAGGGGCCGGCAAGGTGCCCTATTTCACTGTGTTATAAGGTACAGGAGTAGTTGGAAACAGCTCAGTAATTGAACCAATTGACACCCATAACACAATTCCAACATTTTCTTTCTTTCTTTTTTATTTTCTTTCCAATATTGTACCTGCCCATCATTCTTGTTCCTTATTTCCCTCCCCCCTATTTTTCATTGCTGATTTTTATCTCGTGTTTCCTTCCAGCCTTGCAGGAACTCTGCTTAGGTATCAGGATTCTCTTCGCATTGCCAAGTCCAGCGTACTAGGCTTAGCCTCTAATTAGAACACAGCCTCACTGAGGCAGACGCCGTCTCACGACACACTCTCGCCCGGCTCTCTCGTTCATCATTACGAGGCAGAATGCGAAATTTCTTCCCAAGCCAACAAGTTTAATTACGAAAGCTTCGATTGGTAGTAACTGCTGTTATTTCTTCTTTTTTTTTTTCTCATGCCTATCAATGCTACAGTTCATAGCACAGCAATACTATAAAAAAAACACTAGGTACCTAAGTGCAAGATTTATACACCTACCTGGCTGGCTTGGTAGTCATGTAACTTTAGGTACTGGAGCTATTGTACTCCGTATCTGGTCCCTGATAATGAACAACCCCCCGACTCCTACATCGCACTTCCCCCCCCCAGAAGTCCCCGTGGTCCCCGTAGTCTCCGCTGGCACAGCGGCACCCACACCAGGCCCTACCCGCCAACAAGAGCTCAGCCTCATGCCGCTGTCTACATCATCGGAGCTCAGTGCATCCTACTAAAATAAACCTCATCCCTTTCTTTCAACCAGGCTTCCCCCTTGGCTCTCGTGTTACTTCTTCGAGCCGGCTGCCGGTTCGAGCCTGACCTTCCCGCCCATGTACCGTCTTCGGTCGATACTCTTCTTCGCCCCGCGACGACGCCGGTGAAAGTGAAACGAGGTCCTCCTGTTCTGTCCTCTTCTCTTCCTACAATACTTAATACGATCCTCCTCCAATTGCCTTTGCGACGTCTAG